GCTCGGATATGCACGCGGGTGACATTAAATTATTTCCAGATTAGCAGAATTTTCTTATAGATTATGTTCGAAACTGACGATTTTTGGATCTTTGAAGTGAGTCTTTTAGTTGCACGATCATATTACAACTTATTTGGCTAATCTGTTTAATGTGTTTTTTCGTACATACATTGTAATTTTATCAACATACAATCGGACAGACAATCGGTAGAGTATTTCTGACAAGAATGTCGTTCGTAAAACGGTAAAACTAACATATACTTGTTTTCCTGTACTCTAGGATTCTTTCGACGATGTTGGAGGAAACAAAGATGAAACGAGGAATAAATCCCATTCTTCAAGTCAAAACAAAGAAAAAATACCGTCAGTCAAACGGCGCAAAGTGGACTGCTGCGAGGATGCTTTGCCGACGGTTAGTACTTTTGTTGAGAAATCCGAATTGGATATTATTGCGAATATTTTGGATAACGAGAATCTACCTTCCAAGAATAAAGACGACGTTGTGTCAGAGGATCGAGGGGATCTGTTGTTGTTTTTCCAGAAAAATACTTCTCGAGAGAGAAGAAACTTTAACTTGGTAAATAAAGTAGAGAAAGATTCGTCAGAAGTACAAAGAGAGACACGAGAATGTTTTCAGTTTGAAGTGGATGCAACATCGAAGAAAGTATGCCAATATAAAGAGCCCAGAGAAAAGAGTCACGAGTCTGTAATTAATGTAAGACCCGATAAAGAAGTAAAATTGATTAGAATATTTCCTGGACCAGCTGGCTTAGTGCCGGATGTGAAAAATGATAATGTCTCTGCTGCATCTTATCTGAGTAGTGTTGAAGTATTGGAAAATAAAACATCAAGCAAGCGCATTGAGATCAAGACTCAAGATGAGAAAAATTTGTGTGGAGAGAAAGCTTGGAAACTTTTATTCAATGATTTACCACATAATTTTTTACGGGATTATAAGATTTCCATTGTTAAAGACAAAGCAAATGCTAGTCATTGCAATAGTATGAAAGTAAGATTTATAGCAGGAGTGTTGGATTATGTAGATCATAGTCACGACAATCCGTTTGTTATATTAAAAGATTCAACGGGTAGTATAGAAGGTACCATTCATCGTGACATTCCATCAACTTATCCTGGCATATTAGAGCCGAATGTTGTTATTCTTTTGTATGACGTAGGGCTATTAAAAACTACAACGTATGTAGTAACGAATAAATATCATATTCTAGTGTCTCTAATGAACTTACTAGCCATATATTCGGATAAAGGCCGAATTGTAAGTACATCTCTTATGGAAAGCATTTTATCTCATATTTCAAATCACACCGAATTAAATAGAATTAACAATTGTATGCCAGTTTCGAAGGAGCCAGTTTACGTTTCTGAATTGCAAAAGGTAGATGAAAGTCGTGACGCACTTTTGCAAACTAATTCCTTTATCGATTCGTCTACCAAGAATTACGAATCTGAATTAGTGAGAAATCCGCCATTAAAAGTTTTAACAAGTGGAAAATATGAAAGTTGTGAGGAGACTTTTAAGAATAATGATCAAAATTGCAAAGTCACAAACGAGATATTTGAATGTTTCAACTATTCGATGGATGGGGACGATTTTTTTACTACCGACTGTGACTTTACAACTTTGGAAAAACAGAATTGTCTTAATCGTTCGCTATCCAACAGTATTCCGCAAACTAGCAAAATTCAGCAGTGCGACTTGAAAAATACAAAAAAAGAATCGACGATAAATATTCAAAAGCAGACGAAAGAACACTTGCCAAAGACCTTAGAGAAATGTATTAGAGAAATGTGCGATACACGTTACTCGCGTGAAGATTGTTTTTCGTCTTACGATGATACGACGATTTGCAGAGATTCGAATTTAAACATGAAATCCACATTGCCAGCAATAAAATGTAACGTCAAAAACTTAAAACCTCTAGTAAGCCATTTTACTCACGATAAACATGAGTATGATTCGGACGATGAAATTTTGTCGCAGTTGGACGTAGATAACATCTTTGATAAACAAAAGAAAGATTGCTAAGAAGAAGCGTATGTGTATCTCTGCAAATACATCAATGTAATGCGTCGCGCGCGCGCGCGCGCGCGTGCGTGATATTATAGTTTTTAAGTTACAATAATTACTAATTACTAATAGCTAATGTACAAAAAATGTATAAAAAATCGATGTTGACGTTACCATGTGTTATAAGCCTAGTACAGTCTTGAAAATAAAATCAGTTTCGAATTAAACATTAAAATAAGACATACTATGATGTGTGCGTATACACATACATACATATGTATACGCGTGATAAATGTTTGTATTTTCGAATTATTGGAGATAAAACTGTTTGTAAGATCGTATTTGTGATCTTATTATCTCTTACTTGGATTTATAAAACATTATTTATCTAAAGTCATCTCGTAAAGTTAATACAGTTTTCGATAGCGAAGGAGGTTCCCATATAACTTAATTGATCACGCGTCATTGGGAAGAAAAGAATAACATTAAATAAGCGTTATGATTTTACGACGTTGTATATTTACGAGTAAGTACATATGAGACATATGTATATAAATTACGTATGCCCAAGTATCTATAAAATTTTTGAAAATACGACAAAGCGAGCGGCTGTGATTGCATAATGTGATGGGCCCGGTATGACTACGAATGACGCACAATATTTGCCATATCACGGCTATATGCTTACTAATTACTGAATTCGAAGACAGGACAAGATTGTAATTGCGATTAAACGTTCACAGCTGCAATATATTACTTTTACTTAAATAAAGGACGAGATAAAATATCTTTTTCAATTTAAACCAGCTATCTGATTGTGAACTACTCGACCTGTCTCTGCCGTGTGAACGCAAGAGAGCAAGCGTAAACATATACACCGTACCGCGCTTTAGTATCTATATAGTCGTTTTATAACTCGATCAAAAATTATGATTCATATAATTCGCTCATCACAGGATTATCAGACAGTACATCTCAAGATTAATCCAATGGATATAGGTATAATACACTGCGCATTGACGCATATTAACGTCGATTATCGATCTTGCCTTTTTCCATGTGTGTGCTAATACATCTTTTTTTGTATATACAATACTGAAATTGCGGATAAATTAAAGAAGAAATGACTACGTGGAAAGACGAAAGAAGTTAATTCTTGATATAAACGGTAGACTCATAACATCTGCACAACTAGAGCGCGTGAAGTAGGTATAGATTCGTCGTTCGAAGCGTTATCAACGCTTAAATTTAGTGGCACAATTTAGGCATAATTATATATGTGAATCACACAACTAAATTCGTGAGCGTCTTCTACAGTCACGACTGGATTTCGGTGCCTAACGAATTCTAGATATACCTATATGAATTTCTTAACTCCAATGTTTAGCCATTTAAACATATATAGTATGTATATCCGCACCGAAGATCCAGTCGTGACCATAGAAGGCGCTCACGAATTTAGTTGTGTGATTCACATATATAATTATGCCTAAATTACGCCACTAAATTTAAGCGTCGATAACGCTTAAATCAAACGACGAATCTACCTAATTCACTTTTTTTTTTAACAAAGAGACAGATATTAAATGGGACAACGAAGCAAAAGCCGAGGCACAAGTTTACCGAACAGAGATAATGTACGATTGAGAACGCGAGTAAGGGAATTACAAATATCAACGGGAAAATGTGGGATAAGAGATCGCGAGATTAAGATCGTGCAAAACAATAACTCACTTTCGTCCGCATACCTGCAGGATTATAGAGATGATTCCGCGTACGCATATTATATATTTATTTCCATTTCTCGTCTTTTGCAACACGCATACATCAATGTCGAAGTTTTACGTCGTATTGTCTTTTTTCGGATGTCTAACGAGAGACCTTCGAGTATTGCGACAAAAATTTAATTGGATCTTGGTCTTTTCCAAACATGTCATATTGTAAAATATGGAATTCTAACATTTTTATGATCGATAGATAAGCGCGTGCACCGCATACCTTTATGTACATTTTAATGGAAAGAAAAAAAGATGCGCAAAAACCTATGATTCGTCCACCAAGAGATAAAGAGAAACAATTAAATTGTTACGTATATTTACGTAACAAAATTGTTGGCAATTTCATCAGTGGCGTAGTTACATCAGTGCAGTGCAAGAGCATACGCCACAGTTTTTCATTCGCGAATAAAAGCCATTATTTGGTGCACTCGAATTTTCTCTTCGATTTCTTTTCGAAGGTATAATTAATTGGCTAGAACGATATAATTATTTGGCAGTCTTCAAAGTGAGAAAATCAACTACGAATATGGGCAATCAATTATACAAATTCCTTCATTTATCGCACATTTCATGTGACTCATTCTGACGCCTACCGTTATCTCGATCTTCGAGTACAATTTAAATTCCGTTATACAAATATACCGTTCTCGGTATTTTGCAAGAAAGAAAATTCCATCCCGTTGTAACGTATTGCGAAAGTTTGTCGAAATCGACGAGGAAAGAAGGGGTGAGAATACATGATGTCGCACCTTATCCAGTAAGACCAGCAGAGATCAGAGAACACCGGGACCGAGCGAGAGTGAATTGAGGTAATATATGCCTTCAGCACACCAGCGTGATGTTCGTCGCGTTCGACGTGCGATATTCAATGAGCATACAGTTTTATCTTTTATTCTTTATGTTGTTCTCAATCTAAAGTTGTGCGATCATTCGATATCGCGTGTCGAATATCGTGCTGGTGTGCCGGAGCTATAACGCGACACGTACGAAAGCATGTTACACACGCATCACTAGCTGTTCCATTCCGTTCCAGCGATAGACGTGAAACATAATACTACGACAGTGCAGTTTAGCACCGTATATACATCTATAACGAGATACAAACGGCACGCCAGCAAGAAAAAACACGTCAAGAAATGTGTTAATCATCGACTAAACCATTTGTGCAAAATCGCTTTAGTTATGCTAACGTATTCTAGCTAGTTACCGACGTTTACTCGCGGTGATCTTATGTGCCGTGAACGACAATGAAAGCTCTCGTGGTTCTTGCAGCTCCCGTTTTTGTGACATTGATTACTCGTGCGGATTTCAAGTAATTCCGATTAGACGTACGAATTGTTCCTAGCTGCACCTTGGCACGCGCCAAGGTACTCGACCGGCAACAAGTATTTCCAACGTGTGTACGTACGTTTCACTTGCGCATTATCTGCAATACTTTGGACAGCTTGCCTTGCCAATCGGATATTGTGCGGAATTTTTGAAAATTCCGCAACTTACGAAAATTTTGCTAGTCGATTCGAATCGATGTACGGACGTGCAAGCGCGCCTGCAGCGTATATACCTATATATTTTGCAACGCGCGCGAAATTACCGGCTCTTGTCGCCATTGAAGAGGCGAAAGTAAAGTTAAAAAAATAGCATCGCATTCGTACGTATCGTATTCAGCTTCTATTATTATCATCGTTGTAATTGTTATTAACGTACGTACATTTACATATATATATAGGATGTGTTCCGTTTCATGTGTGATGTGCATGACATATCATTTTATCTTTGTTTAACATTCAGTGAACATCAAGGATAAAATGTACATCATGCATGAAACGGAACGCACTTATACATAGGACATGACGCGGATGATGATTATTGCGTTGCGTATTCATGCTTTTAGTACTTACAGCGCTCACAGAATCCCATTTTAACCTTTGTTGTTTATCGAAATGTTAAACAAAGAAATCATGCTCACGTAGCGCGTGAGTGTTGAAAAACGAAATGCAGCCGATGGCGGTTGTGCACGAAAGGGTACAAGAGTTAAAAAATGTTACGTTTATAATATGCGAGACGTTATTACGAATTAGAGTAAAAGTGCTTGCGACACAAATGAAAAGTAACATGCAAATAAAAATTTATACGCTATATATAATCCGTATCCCTAGCTGATACGTATCGTAATTATATTTCTAACATTTTCTACTCGACGAGTCATTAAATATCATTCATTCAATATCTTTTTAAGTTTTATTAATAATTCATAGTAATATTTCTCGCTTCAAAACGTATAATATTGTTTCAAAGTCAATATATTAATTGGCTTCTTGTTCTCTACGGTAACATCAATATATAAAAGTTGTGTAAGTTATTCGCTGAATTCAAATTTGACGTCAGAAAATCAAAATTCAAAATTGAAATGATAAATCCGTATGGCGTATTGATAATTGGAAAAATAAATTTTCGTATATGTTTTTTGAGTTTAAATTCAAATAATATATATATATATATATATATATATATATATATATGTATATATATATGCATCAAATTTTGAAAATTAAAAAAAAAGAAATTATTCAAATATTTTGTTATACACGGCTAGGATTTGTTGTATTCTAATTAATATAGTAATTAATATAATAGTACAGAATGCATTGTAGAGACATTACGCGATGGATTGATTTTTTGACATTGTTTTTTTGTGTTTTTTTAGTTTTGATCTTTACATTTTCATTTTTAAATTTATATAATTATTAGATTTGAGAAAAAAGTATCCCTTAATTTTAGTATTAGGAATCCGGAAAAACAAGTATTAACTTGCTATTCTTTTACTCACCTGCTTCAAAGTTCTTGACTTACGTAAAATTGAATTTTCCTTACATTTTCAATCGAAACTTTGATCGAATACTAATAGTAATTTTTATGACAGCGATTATATTAGTGACTATTTAATCTTTAGTTTTAAGTGTTTTTCTAATTGATCCTAGAGAATTTGACATAAAACATTTGAAATAAAACTATTGATTATAATCTAACAATTATTGAAGCTTTTATACTTTCGATAAGGAAGTAATCATTTTAAATAGTTGAACAAATCCACAAATGAAGGGAAACGTGGCAAAAAATCGAAACATTTTGATACTCTCGTATGCGCGCTTACACACACACACACACACACACACACACACACACACATATATATAGTATAATATATGTGTGTATCACACATTGTATGTCGTGTATTAATCTCCTTATCGATCATAACTACAATCTGCAATACATGTATAACCGGGGTTCTTATATGAGCGTGCCTATATGAGCTACTGTGAAAATCGAGGTAAAATCCCTTCATGGTAAAATCGCATGATTGGTTTTGCAAAACAACAGATAGAGATGATAAATTGACGCAACGTAGATTAACGTTTATAATATCCGTGTCTGTGATATAAATAAAATATGACTAACTTCCGTTGGCCTACTCCATTTTCAAATCATATCTATAAAATGATGTTTATCTATAGATGGATGATAGCGGCTTTAAGAGAGAGAAACGTGTTTCAATTCAAAATACAATATAATAGATATTGCCATAACTTTTCTGTTACGTAACATCGACGAAACATTTGCGCGTGGTTTAACACATAGCAGTAAAACCGGAGCGCTAAATAATCTTTAAATAAGCAATTTTGCATTTCGCAGGCGACACATCGTCGGCGACAAAAAAAGACATTTAGTGATAGCTATACTATTGGATCGGTAACGAAAGAAGCTGTATCGAAATTACGGAACAATCGAACAAAGTCGAAGTTATGATCGATGCAAATGGTAAGCATGAAAAATAAAATGCGAAATAGGAATATGAAATATTGGCAATCGATAGATTGTCGCAAGAATAATTTTGCATTCTAATTTTGATATTTTTGCGTTATCGCGGTATCTTTTAGTAACAGTAACTCTTAGTATGTATAATATACTCTAAATTCTATAGCATGGAAAGTCGATCGATGTGAGGCGTTGCGTAATTTTCGTTCATAACAAATTTAATATATTATATATGTAATTATATAGAAATTGAAATAATTTCTAATTCTTTTTTTGATTCTTCTTCTGTCAAATATCCTTGTACAAATATCAACAAGTGAAGAATGTGGAGGTAAAATATTTTAACAAATCTATGCACAATTACACTTTCTCTCTCTCTCTCTCTCTCTCTCTCTCTCTCTCGCGCCCTCTTCTTTATTCTTTCCTCTAAAATTTTTTGTTTCTATTAAAAGTGCTTTAACTAAAAGTTTTACATTTATATAAAAAGAATAAATATTTTGTATTAACACAATAGAAATAAGGAAAGCTAGAAAGAAATACGCTGCGCAAAATATACATATGGATTATTAGCATAAATCTTTTATTTTAAATAGTTGATGTATTTTATGGATAACTTTACGTTATTTCTTTCTTAGGAGTAAATGACAACAAAGAGTCGGATGTTATATGGCAGAAAATTTATACTGATCAAAATGAATATCTGGTATATATATATACCACTATCTTTTATATATTAAATTTATACATAATTATATATATATATATATATATATATATATATATGTATGTATCTCTTTGTTATTTGCAGCACTATTTATTACAATTTATTATTCACACGGTATTTTAGCGTATTTACGGATTCGAGAAAAGTTCGCCGAGGACCACTCTAACATACGTATCGTATGTATTGTCCATTGGATTGGTTCGGCTATTGTTTCACTGGTATCCTTGGATGCATCTGTATGCGACTCATCGAAAATGTGCTTTAAGTTACGCCACGAAAATACTCGCGATAGTAAGTCTATTTCTTTCGTTGTTATCAATATTATGCGCTTTATAAATTATTATTATTGAATAACGATCGTACAACTAGATAGAATATTTTTGAGAATAATCAATAAAAAAATGATTTTTTTTTAAATATCATAACGAAACTAATCATTTCTCATAATTTTTTAGACGCTGAATCCGAATCCGATTATAGAGAGTTGCTCTATTACGTCAAATTTTGAGAAATTTGCAGATAAAGTTGTGAAGAAGGGCTTTTTAAGTATTATCATATTGTAACTTCGAAATGTGACTTGTTGGAGAAATGTTTTCATGTTTAACAATAAATAACTTGTTAACCACAGAGGACACAAAAAATTTCTTTTGAGGGTTGAAATGGTTGAAAGTTCTAACAACTTAATTTTGATTGCAAAAACACTTTTCTAGGACGTCACATTTCGAAGTTATAATATGATAAAATACGTGAAAATAGCCTATTTTTGTAACTTGCAAATTTTTCAAAATTGTGACGTACATGATAGAACAATTTTACAATCGGATTCGAATTCAGCGTCCAAAAAATTATTTGGGAAATTATTTGGGAAATGACTAATCTCGTTATGATGTTTGTTTTGTTGTTGAACTGTGTAATTATACATATATATATATATAGGTGTATATATATATATATATATATATACACCTATATATATATATGTATATAAATATATAAGAATAACAATAAATGCAGGATCATTATCAAGGATACAAGTCATACTTTGTACGAGATGTCCGGAAAATTTCTACTAAAGATATAACGTAAGTTTGTTTGTAATATGTAACACACACACATATATATATATATATATATATATATATATATATTATATAGATATATATTGTATATGTATTAAAAGAATAATATAAAGTCAAAATGGCGAATTTCAGACTGGTCTCTAATTTTATTACTGTGCACTTTCAGAGCGAAAAGTTTATTGGCTATTTTGGATACTGTTGATCAAGATCTCTTAGAGAAAATTAAAGATAAAAAACTAAAAATTAATTTGGAGAATGGCACGCGTTGCGAAGTTCATGAATATAAGGCTTTTTGGTGCAAAAAGAAATGTTATATCTGGGACACTACGAAAAATATATTCTCGAGACTCGTAGGGCTTGACAATGGTACAATGTGTTCTGATCTCCATGTCTCGTGCAGCAATGGCTTGTCCAAGGAAGAACAATTACTTAGGTGACAGATACAGATATTCTAGATATACACATTTTATATGTATGTATAGATAAATGTAGGTAATGCCAAACAATCGATTCCATATATGTATATGAGTTAGTACGAGTGAAGTCTCCAAGTGAAGTTATATTTTCTTTCAAATAAAAGAAACATTTTCATTTTCGTTACAGGCGCATTGTCTACGGAAATAATGACATTATTGTTCCGCTTCAAAATATCGGAGTATTACTACTGCTAGAAGTTTTAAATCCATTTTATATTTTTCAAGTATTCACACTATCTGTATGGTTTGCGGAAGGCTATTTGTATTATACTATCGCTATAGTATTAATGTCACTGTTTGGCATTACAAGCTCTATTGTACAGACGCGTAAGGTATGTTTCTACATATGTTTCTATATACAAAAGTAGGTAAACTTATCTCGTAATAAAAATTTCATTACCTATTATTCTTAGAACCAATTAAATCTACGCGGTACCGTTGCTTCGAAGACCGTTTCGTTAGAAAGTGTACGCGTACTTCGTGACACTGGTATTTTCGAGAATATCTCTAGTAAGCAATTGGTACCCGGTGATCTCATAGAATTACCAAAACATCAAACGACTCTCGTATGCGACGCGGTTTTATTAACTGGACAGTGCATATTAAATGAATCCATGTTAACGGGTAAATATATTTGTATCTTTCAAATATACATTTTAGGGCACGATCAGATTTCCACTCAAGTTCCATCCCATTTCATCCTTGTTGTTCATCGAATGTTAAACAAGGATAAGACGATATCTGAGGAGCACTTCGGTGGGAATCTGAACGCGCCAATACTTCTCCCTAATAAAAGTTTTCTCTCTCTATATTTGCACATGTAGCATGCACGCAAATCACAAATATATTTACATATCTATATAAATTTACTTGTTTTACCAATTTTAGGCGAGTCTGTACCAGTGACAAAAACATCTTTACCATTACGCCACACATTGTACGACGCTAAAGAGTATACGTATCACACGTTGTTCAGCGGTACTACTATAATACAAACCAAGTACGAACAATTTTTATTTTCAATAGATGCAACTGTCGATAATTATAGTATAGATAATTGACGAGTGATATTCGCAGATATCACAGCGATCAACCAGTACTCGCGAGGGTAATCAGAACTGGTTTTTTAACTAACAGAGGTGCTCTAATTGCCGCTATACTATATCCACCTCCAGCGGATTTTAAATTTGATAAAGATTCATATAAATTTATTGGCATTTTGGCATTTATCGCAACTTGTGGTTTTGTATACACCGTAATAATCAAGGTAATTCTCTCAAAGTTTAAAATTTTAATTCAAATATAGATGCTTTGCAAACTATAAGTTTAATTGTATCGTATCCATATATATCTACTGTGATAGGTTGGTATTCATTTTTATAAAGAGAGATATCTATAAAGAATAATATCTAAACCTGCTGCAAATAATAATAATAATAACAACAATAACAACAACATCAACAACAACATTACGATAAATATTTTAGGTTTCGAAAGGAATTATAGCTGGAGATATAGCGATAAAAGCATTAGACATCATTACGATAGTCATACCTCCGGCATTACCAGCAGCAATGACCGTAGGAAAATTATACGCTCAAACGAGATTGAAATGTGCGCAAATCTACTGTATTAATAACAGAGTCATAAATGTTTCCGGCAGCATAAATTGCGTATGTTTTGATAAGGTGAGAAATAGAGAGACAGAGAGAGAGAGAGAGAGAGAAAGATTAATAAAGATTAGAAAGGAGATTATGTCGCAGCAACATGATCGCGGAACAGGCGAGCAATTCAATGCTATAACGTTAACTGCAATAACATCTCTCGTTTTTCTCATCGTGACGGTTTATGTCTATTATAGACGGGGACATTAACTGAGGATGGATTGGATATGTGGGGCGTTGTAGCATGTACAAACGGTGTCCTTGCCGAAGCCGAGACAGATATATCTAAACTTAAAGAACATCCTCTTTTCGAAGGGATGCTAGTTTGTCACAGTTTGACACTTATCGATGGAGAACTTTGCGGAGATCCTTTGGACGCAAAGGTAAAAGATTATATACTCTTTTGTACATTTATCGCTGCGACCGCTTTACCGCTCGACATCTCGCGATGTGACGACACATGTGCAGTTATTGCATCGCGTTACATTACAGATGTTTGAAAGTACTAAGTGGATATTGGAAGATTCGAATTGCATTCACGTAGATAAATATGACTCGACAGTACCGATTGTCGTGAGACCACTAGAGAACGCAAGCTTAATAAAAAATATGAATGAAATCACGGAGATTGGTATAATACAGCAATATCAGTTTTCGAGTTCATTACAACGAATGTCCGTGATCGTACGCGCATCAGGATCAGCTGATTTTAGAGCATACACAAAAGGCTCTCCCGAGATGATAATTAATCTAAGCAAAACGGAAACTGTACCAAAGGACATTTCGCTCATTTTGGAGCGATTTACAAAAGAGGGATTTCGCGTGATAGCTATGGGCCGTAGAACAATAATTTCTGAAAGTAATGCAGAGGTAATATATATATGTATAATATACGTAGTGCAAGCATTTGAAAATATCTCAACTATACGTGATATCTCCCGAAGAGTGTATGTACATACACTCATTATATGTTCATTATAGATATCGAAACTGCCTCGAGAAACGATTGAACGAAACTTGGATTTCTTAGGGTTAATTATTCTGGAAAATCGATTGAAACAACCGACGGCATCAGTGATTACGGAATTAAGGGAAGCCAATATACGCGTGATGATGATTACAGGTTTGATGAAATACTACGAATCTCTTCATCATGATACTAACAATAATAAGTATTACGCATCTACATGTAATGGACTTGGATTCGACCTTTGATTTTCAGGAGATAATATTCAGACTGCGGTAAGCGTCGCGAGAGAATGCGGAATACTTTCGATTGAAGAACACATTGTAGACGTGACCGTAGTTTCGAACGAGGAAAAGGATCATCCAGAGATAATTTTCAACATTCAGTCTCCAGAATCTCCAAAATTGGTAAGATTCTCGATCTCTATTGTAAATTTTGAATAGGACAGCCGTGCAGTGGTAAACTTGAACTCGAGTCGCGGCCGCATTAATCTCGGTGATTAATGAATCTTCCAATTTCTTCTTGCAGAGCTCACAAAATCAAGATCGACATTTGCAGATGTCACCGACGATCGAAGATATAGAAAGCGGCACAGCCAATTGTAATTATAGATTTGCCTTAACGGGACAAACGTGGCAAGCGATACGAGAACATCGTCCCGAACTCGTGGACCGCATTTGTGTACGCGGTGCGATATTCGCCAGAATGAGCAGCGATCAGAAGCAACAATTGATCGTGGAGCTAATGCGACTCGGTTATTACGTAGGTACGCGTCCCGAAATTAAGTGTCGATCGAAGAAGAGAAACGGATAAAATCGATACTTAATTATCAATAATACATATTTCAAGTGTGATAAACATAGTATAATGTAAAAATTATTGTGTACGATGTGCTTATATACAGCTATGTGCGGAGACGGTGCCAACGATTGCGGAGCGTTAAGAGCCGCGCACGTCGGTATATCGCTCTCCAAAGCAGAATCCAGGTATGTATGAGAAATCCGTGTAACGTACGTATGATAAATTAATTATGTTCTCTATCTCAATAATAGTTTATATTATTTTTTCTTGCAGCGTGGCCAGTCCCTTCACCTCGAGAATATCCGACATAAGCTGCGTCCCAAAAGTAATACGGGAAGGACGCGCTGCTTTAGTTACATCGTTTGGAATTTTTAAATTTATGATCGCGTATTCCCTTACCGAATTTTTGTCCGTTACAATACTGTACTCCATAGACTCGAACTTGACGCCTCTACAATTTCTATTTATCGATATTTGTTTGATCATTAACTTTGCCTTTTTCTTCGGCAAAACTCGCGCGTGTAAGAACAAGTTATCTAAAACAACACCGATGACGAGTCTGCTAAGTTTCACTCCGCTCTTATCTCTAACGGTACATATGTTCATAACGATCATTTTTCAAGTGACAGTATATCACACTGTTCGGCAATTTTCATGGTTCATTCCGTTCGTTCCTACTAGCAACACCGGATACACGTGCTACGAAAACTATTCGGTTTTCTGTGTCTCCATGTTTCAATATATCACAATGGCGATTGTATTTTCACGCGGGAAGCCTTACAGACGCGCGATTTATACAAATGGAGCATTTATGTTTTCCATTCTTTTATCAACAGCTATTTGCACATACATTACGGTTTATCCCGCGGATTGGGTAGTGAGCACGCTGCAATTGATTTTACCACCCGTCTACGATTGGAGGCTTATTATCCTAGCGCTCGCTCTAGCCAATTTCCTTATTTGTTTCTTTGTCGAAAACATTGTAATAGAGCGCGTCATTGAAAATACCTTGAAGAAAAAATTATTTAAGCCGGAAAAATCCAAGAAACGATATCTAAAGATGGAATACGAATTGAAGAATTGTGAAAGTTGGCCGAAATTCAAGAGAACTGATCAATTGCCAATATTATCTATCCTGCGAAAAGATTTGCAAAATATCGCTAGTATTACGCATAACAATCATTGTCGGATCGGTGTTTCGAACGATCAAATGGCTGAACGACCGATTAATGATTTTAACAACTCGAATAACTTACCGAACGAATGGACTAGTAAAAAAAATGGATTCGAAAATTTTGGCTTTGCAAATGACTAACAATAAGTATAGTGGCGAAACACAAAAATAGCAGTATTCGTATAAATGTAATTTAATTCCATTTACGTTAACGTTACCATTTTATGAAACATAGTCGAACATAATTTTTATGAATCGTACGTAATGCAAAATAATAATAGAGATATGTATATAGATCGAAGTGCGTTCTTTTTTCCTAATATCAATATTCTATATCACATCATATATTCGCTTATCTTTGCAATATATAAAAGTTGCATAACTCGTGCAAAATACTACACATGAGTATAAATTAAGAATCGTGTATTATATAGAACTTTCAGTAGTTTCAGTTCACAATATGCTATGGCAATGCGTGGCGTGTCAGAGATGTCTAATTTTCGGAAAAAAGAAAATTTTAACCAAGCACTTTTATATCTCTATCCCTGAGAAATCGCACTCACGCGACACACACGCACGCACGCACGCACGAGCGCACGCGCGCACACGCACACAGAATGGCTAAATATCATAGATGTACGTAGGAAACATAAATACATGAATATATCTTGATACACACAAGTATTAAAAACATGTAATATAATATGTATACACGCTATTCCGTATATGTAAATGAAAATTTATTAAGATACTCACTTAATATAGAAAAACCGATCGCTGGTACAAGCTATTAATTTATTCAATAGTAAATATGTGAATCTACTAAGTAAAATAGGTTACAGATCATGAGTCTCGATTGTTTGTCATCATGTGAACCTACAATATCGATCTTCTTAGCATTTTCTGAAAAGAATGAAGCGTTCATACGTTAAAATGATAACAATATATTTACCTTTAATCAAGTTCACACCACACTTCTTACCTATAATAAATTTGTGTTTATTCACCAATTCTTCCCAGATCCATTCCTTGAAACGCAAAACTATTTGACCGATCATGCGAATTATGACGTCATCTATGCTTGGTCTCAAAAGTAAACTCGGTAAGTTCTTAACAAAGCTTTCAAACACCTTCTCTCTGTCAAATAAAATAAATATATAATTTTCGACTCGAGTTACTTGTTAATTCTATGATTCATTAATTATCGCATGTTGAACAGCTGTAAGAGTGCTCAACAGTAATTGGTCACTATTACTTGTTTCTACTTAAAAAGATTACCTGTGTAACTCATTTAAATCACTTTCCAACATAATGTCACCGATAATCAGATACAAATGTGACTGCAATTCTTTCTTAGGTAAACGAGAAGACATTTCAATAATCAGTGTTAAAGTATGACTTAAACTAATACAGTTGGTATACCAAACTGGACTGGCTTTCAAGAATAATGTTCTTACAAGTTTAGTTAATTGCGGTAAAGCGGACGAGTCACACAAATTTTTGATATTATCTGAAAAACAGAGAAACGTCATTGAAGAAAGAAGTCTTATACATGTAACAATAATGATATATGTTATTAAATTACCATTTAAATATTTCACAATCGATACACAATAGGTCTCAACAGATTTAGGAAATTGTTCGTTGAACCTAAACAGAGATGTAAACCATACATGAATTTGACAAAGTCCCAAATTCTGTTCCAAACACTCTTCCGCAAGTTCCATTTGCGAAAAATCTTTCTGACGTTTCCTTATTAACCTTTCTGACGTTTCACTAATAAGCGCCTTTACTTTACCATAGGGGAATCTTGAGAGAAAATTTTTCATGTATGCATTATGAAACGTATCTTTAAACCTATTTTTCACAAGTCTGACACTACGATCGTCACGATCCAACGTATCAATATATTCCATAATCGATTGTATAATTATGACAATACTTTTCAATAATGCGGCCGCTTCGCTCGAAATTGTAATCTCTGTGTAATTCTCAACTTTCTCATCTGGACATACTTCGAGCCAAATATCAGACATCAGTGGCATCAACAAACCTACATATTCAACAAATTCTTCTATAGGTAAGATTTCTTTCGTGCGATTACACATCAAACTCACATCTTCGTCAAGATTAACTTGGCAAAATCGAGGTACATCATCGCTATAAATGGGAATATATCTGGTATATCTTTTCGTTCTCACGATCAAAGGCACATTTGATTGCGCATCCCTACAAAGCTTTCTATAGTTTAAAATAGAGACAAACATATTAGCTAAACGTTTCAGAACTTTAATTCTCCATTTTACATCAGTGCTTTTGGAATTTAGCGACGTCGTTAATCGTGCTCCAGGCCTAATTTCATTGCGTAGATTGCATATCATACCCAAAAAATTGGGCAATATCTTTTGGCAATCCTTCGCCAAGGCGCTACTGCAATTTTGTACAAGCACATCTAGGAAAAGTAAAGAATCTTCCTTCACACGTGGATCAATGTGCGTCATCGCACAGCTTAAGTAAGATATCAGAATTTCACACAAGGGTGTCAACTGTTCTTTCGAAATCAGGCCAAGAATAAAATTTAATGTATGAAAGCAACTTGTTCGTATGTCCTTCTCTTTATCGAGAGATAAAGCTGCAATACTATGTAACAAAGAATTTATTCGTGAATGTAAAGACTTTGGAGGATTTCGCAACAAGATATCCTTCAATTGTCTCAAAGCATCTTCTCTTACAGTCGAATTGTGATGCCGAAAGCGCATTAATAAATCCTGAAAATAGATTATTGATTACAGAACGTATTACGAACAAATTCAAATTGTAACATAACAAACAATTAGGCATATACAATGTTAATGCGTTAGCATCAATTAATTAACATGTAGAGAATAATATAAATTTATTAATTTACGTACATCAATACTTAATTTACGAGAGCTGAGAACTTGTGTTTCATCTCGATGCTTTAATTGTTCACGTATCAATATTTTTTTCACTTTAAACGACGTATTTGTAACGTTCAAACCTTTCGGCAATTGACTGACAGATACTTTAGCTTTTAATTTCACTTTTGCCTTTTCCGATTTTAGGCGTTTTGAACGCTTATGATTTTTACTCATGTTTCAAACAAAATATTTAACGTATAAATTACAACATAACGCTACGTGAAAGATATAAAATTAAAACATACTAAAAATTTAAGGTTAAAGAATTAGCACACACGATTGAGACACAGAATAGAGAAGCATGAGAGCGGCCTTCCTAGACTTTTCTTAGAGTCCTAGGTTATCAAAGAAGCACAATTGTTGTTACGAGTCCTGATTGGCTCGCAAATGACCAATCATAAAATTGATTTATCGGTATTATAAATGCCTGCCGAATGAATTTATCTTATGATTGGCCATTCGACGCCATTTTTAATATTTTCTAGAACTTTTCCTATATTGCCATAAACTGGTCGAGTTTCTCTGATAATTTAGGACTCTATCTTTCCAATCTTTTAACGTGAGCGTGAGACTGTCAGAACCACTGTACATTAAAGCCATTACATCCATTTCTGAATTGGGTACTACGTGGCAACATCCACTTTTTGACATTGTCGATAAAATTATAACGTCGAACGATCAGCTAAGGTTCTTTAATAATTAATAAAATTGTTAAACTTTTCGCGTTTATTTAAACAACCACAATTCAAGGTTGATGGTCCATAACAGTCTCTCGACGGTGCAAATTAATAAATTTGTTAAACTAGCTCATTGCGCTTATTTAAACGGCACGTTAATTCCCGGGGTCAAACATTCATCAATCGTAACAAAATCGTCATAAATTCCAACGCGAAAGCGCGGTGCTTTCATTTTCAGTTCAATAAATGATAAAATGAACTTAATTGTATATCCGTAGGTTTTTGAAAAGACAAAAACGACCTCTACAGACGAAAGGACGAGAGATAGAGGCATGGCGAAGAGGACCTTTCTTGTTCCTCTCGTCGAGCTGCATAGGAAGGGGTAGGTCCGGGTAATTTTTAGAATTTTTTTTTGATTTTTATTTTTATAGTCAAGATTTGGTTGGGGTTAGCAGAGATTTGAAATTGAATTGGGAGTTTTTATCGACAGAGGACGACCCCCTCTATCACCTCCCACAAGTCAAAGTGCCGTAGCTATCTCAGTTCGCCCTGGGGACTTTTTTGAAAATTTTGAAAATTGAAAAATTTCGTATTTTGAAAAATCCAAAGGTGGTTTCTTATAGATCTCGACGAGCCCTACAAAAAAGGTCCTATGCGCCAACCTTGTATCTGTTGCCGTTTAAAAGTTACAGGACTTTTTATGTTCCAAAAAAAGGAGATCGGAAGAGCACACGTCTGAACTCCAGTCACTTAGGCATCTC